TGATGGTGGTTGACAGATCAGTCAAGGTTTCCATATACAAATGAAAGACACCAATGATGGTGGTTGACAGATCAGTCAAGGTTTCCATATACTAGGTGAGAGATGGCTGTCTGGGGTGAGAGATGGTTGTCTGGGGGTGAGAGAGGGTTGTCTGGGGGTGAGAGATGGTTGTCTGGGGGTGAGAGATGATTGTCTGTAAAGAGCAATTGTTGTCTGTGGAGAAACATGTCAAGAAACGTTCCTGCTCAGTGAGTGTTCAGCTAGCTGCTGGAGAAAAACTTATGGGACTAAGTGCTGCCTGAAACCAGTCTCATGAGGCTGAGTCCTGTCTGAAGTGAGTCTCGTGGGGCTGAATCCTGTCTGAAGTCAATCTTGTGGGGCTGAGTCCTGTCTGAAGTCAATCTTGTGGGGCTGAGTCCTGTCTGAAGTCAATCTTGTGGGGCTGAGTCCTGTCTGAAGTCAATCTTGTGGGGCTGAGTCCTTTCTGAAGTCAATCTGGGGGGACTGAGTCCTGCCTGAAGTCAATCTTGTGGGAATGTGTCCCACCCAAAGTCAATCCCATTTGTTCACTGGTCAATGAATTTCTTTTCATAATACTGTTGTTGGTCAGGAACAAGTGTTGGGGTATGAATGTCCTCTCTGGGGATGGTTATGTTTATGATATGTAACAAAGGCGTATGCAGATCTACATATGTATGTATGTAATATTAAAAAAAACACTATTTTTTTTGTAATCTGTATTTCAGTTTCTACATCATTTGTTTCCTCATGACATTTCTTTTAAAATGTAGGATTGATGTCTGTTGAAGATTGTTGATGAATGATTGCAGTGCATGATTGTTAATCATCAAGACTTGACTGTTGGTGAATGGAATGATTTGATAGATACTTTCCTGGCCAAGTTGTTTGACTGTTGGTGAATGGAATGATTTGATAGATACTTTCCTGGCCAAGTTGTTTGACTGTTGGTGAATGGAATGATTTGATAGATACTTTCCTTGCCACGTTATTCATTTAATATCCTTTTTAATTCAAATCATGTCCTCTATAAAGTATTCATATAATGTCCTCTATAAAGTATTTATATAATGTCCTCCATAAAGTATTCAAATAACGTCCTCTATAAATTATGAAGTACCGTATTCATATAACGTCCTCAATAAATTATAAAGTATTCATATATAGTCCTTTATGTAGTATTTATTTAACATTCTCTATTACGTATTCATGTCATGTCCTTTATAAAGTATTCACATAATGTTCTCTATTTAATTGAAGGATCAATACAGTCGGTAAAATTAGAAGGAAAAATTAAATTGACTATCAACCAGTGAACTTTCTGTGTGTATCACCGTTTGTATGTGTGTGTCAGAACACGTGTGTTGTTTTGTCATGATGTGTGTGTATCAGCACCTATTCTGACAGTCCATAAATAACATAGTATTTATATATCTCTGCATCTGTAACGCAAAGTTTTCATACTAATTATAATTGCCCCCGGGTTTTCAAAAGTGAACTCGCCACATATCGCTGTAGGACGACTGCTATAGTGACGTCATATTTAGTCCACCATATCCTACATGCCCCTGTCACGTTTTGTTTCTCGGCTGCGCCAGTGCTTTCTAGAAGTTTGTCGATGTCCCGGCGACCCTTGCCAATTTTAGATTTCCACCAGGCCCCCTGCGTTCAATTCTCACAAGCCCCCTGCGTTCAATGCTCACAAGCGCCCTGCGTTCAATGCTCACAAGCGCCCTGCGTTCAATGCTCACAAGCGCCCTGCGTTCAATGCTCACAAGCGCCCTGCGTTCAATGCTCACAAGCCCCCCCCCTGCGTTCAATGCTCACAAGCCCCCTGCGTTCAATGCTCACAAGCGCCCTGCGTTCACTGCTCACAAGCCCCCTGCGTTCAATGCTCACAAGCCCCCTGCGTTCAATGCTCACAAGCGCCCTGCGTTCAATGCTCACAAGGGCCCTGCGTTCAATGCTCACAAGCGCCCTGCGTTCACTGCTCACAAGCCCCCTGCGTTCAATGCTCACAAGCCCCCTGCGTTCAATGCTCACAAGCGCCCTGCGTTCAATGGTCACAAGCGTTCTGCAAAATCGCGAATTCATAAAAAAAAAAAAACAATAAATAGATAAACGGTTGGGAAAATATTTCCAAACGCTTGTACGTCACTAAGGGTCATCGAGTAACGTGATGACACTCATGAATGGCCCCCAAAGGAGAATTAAGGGTTTCTAGTGTAAATTCCAAATAAACGTTACGAAATGAGGACCAACATGACGTCGTGTGAGATCATGTTGCTAACAGAGAACCGCTGGAAGTGAAGCTTAATTAAAGCAAACAAGGTTATTGACCACACGACCAGCCGTCCCACAACGATATACCATCAAGCGCCGATTGAGAACCGTTGTACTTAAGACTTGAAGCGAACAACAAGTCACCGACCAGGTGACCACCGTAAGCTCAATGAGATCTATCCAGTCAAGTAAACAACTTGCAGAAAGCTAAAGCAGATACGTGACTTTAGCACGTTCTCTTACACGTTTCAAAATACATTTCCATGGTCGCAAGAATTGTGCTGAAATATATTTCCATGGTCGCAAGAATTGTGCTGAGATATATTTCCTTGGTCGCAAGAATTGTGCTGAGATATATTTCCATGGTTGCAAGAATTGTGCTGAAATAGATTTCCTTGGTCGCAAGAATTGTGCTGAGATATATTTCCTTGGTCGCAAGAATTGTGCTGAGATATATTTCCTTGGTCGCAAGAATTGTGCTGAGATATATTTCCTTGGTCGCAAGAATTGTGCTGAGATATATTTCCATGGTTGCAAGAATTGTGCTGAAATAGATTTCCTTGGTCGCAAGAATTGTGCTGAGATATATTTCCATGGTTGCAAGAATTGTGCTGAAATATATTTCCTTGGTCGCAAGAATTGTGCTGAGATATATTTCCATGGTTGCAAGAATTGTGCTGAAATAGATTTCCAAATTCACAAGAATTGTACTGAGATATATTTCCATGTTCACAAGAATTGTGCTGAAATATATTTCCATGTTCACAAGAATTGTACTGAGATATATTTCAATGTTCGCAAGAATTGTGCTGAAATATATTTCCATGTTCACAAGAATTGTACTGAGATATATTTCAATGTTCGCAAGAATTGTGCTGAAATATATTTCCATGTTCACAAGAATTGTACTGAGATATATTTCAATGTTCGCAAGAATTGTGCTGAGATATATTTCCATCGGTCGGTCCGATACTGCACATACACTCAGTGCACACGATCGACTTTCATAGGAGTCGGGATGGTCAATTTAAGTCTTAATGTCTTCCCCCACCCATCCCGGGGAAGTGTCGGGCGCCCTTTAAGAGGGGCTCTATAGTGGGTTCTCCACCCCGCAACAAGTTTGCGAAGGAGCTGGGACAAAACGGTTGCCTAGGAGTAGCTTTCTCAGGGCTGCGTAACTAGAATCATCGGCCAGAGACTTCCACCTTAGTGTCTCGCCTCATATCCATTAACGGCAACTTGTATTGTAATCATGGTCCCTACCCTGTCTCTGCCTTTACTTCCAGCCGTAAAAAGTCACAGTTGGTAGCTGTGTAGGTGCTGTTTTTATTCCGACTGGTACCATGCATGTTGTCCCTTGTCTGCCCACGCGAGACACAGAATGGTGGTCTTGACTGGGATGGTTCAGACAATCTATATTTGGCTGTGATGGTTCAGAAGTCTATCCCCAAAATGTGTTCAGAGAGTCAAACACATGCCTGCCAACTATCACCAAAATGTGTTCAGAGAGTCAAACACATGCCTGCCAACTATCACCAAAATGTTTTCAGAGAGTCAAACACATGCCTGCCAACTATCACCAAAATGTTTTCAGAGAGTCAAACACATGCCTGCCAACTATCACCAAAATGCACAGCGTTAAATTCCGTTGTGCTGACGTCATTTCTGTTTTTTAACTTCCAGAATTCTCAGTCCCCATTGTGGGCTATGACCAATTCTCATGTAGAGGAGTGTACGCAGCAAGAAACGTTAAAAAACAACAATTTAATAATGTAACTATATTGCCTAATATCAGCAGCTTTGAAACCAGTGGCGTCTCCTCTATGTCAGCCCTACCCGCTTCGTGGCCACGTGATTTGACAGCACCTTTAACTGGGCTCAATCCAATTAATGCATGTATAACTCATTATGTTCTGTTCTTGGGTCTAATTCAAATTTAACCGAGTTCCATATCAGACTCTAATATACCGGTAGATATAATATAGATTAACTTAGACGACATCGAGGCTTGGAAACGAGAGATCCGCCACCATAAGATACAGTGTCTGCCTCAGCTAAAAGAATGGATGATACACCTTCGCTTTTTAAAAGAATTGTAGTTTTGATACCAATTATTATGATATCTGTCTCGAATCGGCCGACCCCGGGGAAGTCACGAGATGTTCCGTCAAGCGTTACCAACTGCGCATGTCAGAAAACGTAAGGAGGCGGGTATTTAAGATAAACTCTCCAACACAACTAACTCCAGCATTTAGTTACCCCATAGCTCAAAATTTGATTATCATCGTACACGCTCTATCTTGAACAGTTTTTTTTTTTTAGTATTGACTTACACACTCATTAGACCCGCGCAACTGGAACTTTGGCTATCCCAATTCAGTAAGTTCCGCTTTTATTTTCTGCTGTGCATTGTGATGTGTCACACGACTGTCGCAATGCTTAGGTAACGCTATACTTGTGTGTGACGTGCCGTTTCCATTTGACTTCTAAGTTTTTACGGTTAGTCGAAGTTGTTTTTTTTTTGTTGTTGTTGTGAAAGTTGTATATTGACACGCCCGACGAGCATCCGACACACACTCACACACACACAGCCACACACACAAATAAAACCTAAATAAAAATGTTAACAGTTTATTTTTTTAAATATTAATGATCACTGGGGAATTACATAGTTTTCCTTTACTTAAGTATCTGCTACCTCACGATTATTAGGCCCTATAATATAATGAGTTCACGTTCATATTAATTAATGTCACCGGGCAGACTATAGCAAGGAAACCTCTTACACTCTTGGTCAGGGGTGGGCAAACGTTTTGTGCGGAGGGCCACATTGACCACTGTAAATTGTAAAGCTATTGGGGGGGGGGGGGCGCATGTATATTATGTCCACTTTTTACATGCTGATAACCCTTTATCTATATTAAAATCGGTAAATTCATATTTTTGCATTACATGACAAAGGTCAAGGACTGTTTGAAAGAAAATAAAAGAAAGTTAGAAAAAAAGTTGATCAAAAATGTGTATAACAATCATAAGGGTAGAAATAAAATTCTGTAAAATTCAACAAAATAACTTAAAAACAAAGTAATTTTTTTTTTAAATTTCTAAACGCCTTCGAGAACCGGATAATATCAGTTGTCGGCCCCATGCGGCCCGCGGGCCGTAGTTTGCCCACCCCTGCTTTTGGTAAATTTTGTTTGCTTCTCATTGACATCACCAGCTGCAAGCACCCGTCAAAACTGATGGCCCCGAAACGAAAGTTGGAAAGATGGATCAGTTGTTTTTTTTTTTAAATAAAATAATATTATGAAGTTAAGTAAGCAATATTGGATAACAAACTGCTTTAAGACTATAATTCAGGCCTGAACAACATACGGCCCCCGGGCTGCATGCGGCCCGCCAGCACCCAGTTTGTGGCCGGCGAAGCAACGAAATATTCTTTATTCTTATTATTTTCTATTATAGCTTTCCCCCTGTCCTTTTTCGTTTGCCCCGCACAAGTCTTGTCCTATTTTCATTTGGCCCGCACAAGGTTTTCATTAAGTATTATGGCCCGCCTTACATTATGAGTTGTGCAGGCCTGCTTTAAGACATTAAAACAATAGAAAGTCCTGATTAATTTAATTAAAATAAGTATTAACGTCGCTGGTTCTGGTAATGTTTCGTTGCTGCATCCATGTACTTGCATTTTCGCAACGGTTGGGGGTATGGTGTTGCTATTCTAATAGCGCCTAGCTGATGCCAGGGCAGCCTTGAAGCTTTCGACTGATGTCGAGCTCACAGTCGCCCGGGGAGCGTATCCCCTTCAACTCCGCCCCCGCCCCACTTTATTTTTTCACACGGCTCTTGAGGAATGGTATTCACACCTGCACTTTTCTTTTTGCCCCTTCACTGTATATTTATTTTAGGAAAGTGACATTTTTTGGCATCACAGACATTGAAGTAATATACTCATGTTGTAGGTAGTAGATTGTACTCATGTTGTAGATTGTACTCATGTTGTAGATGCGTTTTTGAAGATTGCAAGGATGTGCTGTTGGGAAGTGGGAGGGGAAACGGTGAAAGGACTGGCATTCATTTAAGGGCTGTTAAGTGCTAAAATCAGAAAAGAGGCAGCTTCGTGTGAGCTTCTCACCGATCTAGAAAAAAAAAATGCTCATATTTGAATATTATGTTCCAAATATTATGTTTCGAATCTCGGTTAAAGTATATGTAATCTATGCCAGAAAAGACCCGATTTCTTTCTTAACACTACATTTTTGATTGGGAAATGAAAGCAGGGTCTTAGATCTACATGTCATACATTTTGAGATATTCTGATCACCGATATTTAGGCCTCCTTGGTTTTAGGACCAGTCTATCCGCCTTCCGAATCGCACGAGAACTTCTTACCGGTATTCAGTGTACTACTCCTGTCTCACCTTACAGCAGTGTACTACGCCTGTCTCACCTTACAGCAGTGTCCAACGCCTGTCTCACCTTACAGCAGTGTCCAACGCATGTGTCACCTTACAGCAGTGTCCAACGCCTGTCTCACCTTACAGCACACAATGTGTCTTGTGGAATTGGGCGTCCACCAGACGTGGTCTGACCTGCTACCAGAAATTCCGCTAGTTACAACATCTGCTCACTTAAACCAATTGATGACTAGATCCAAAAACAGACTCAACGCAAAAAGAATAAACACAATAATAGTAGACACAAATAGACTAGTAACACAAAAACAGACTTATCACAAAAAGACTACACACAAAAAAACTAGACACAAAAAAGACTATACTCAAATTTATTTATATTTTTTTGTATTCGAGATTTCATAAAGTAAAAAATCCTTTTTATTTCAGCCCATTAACAACGAAACCTTAGAAGCCCTAAGCCAAAAACCCTATCAGAAACAGCTTATCAGAAACACCTTATCAGACACCTTGTCCTAAACAACCCCTAACAGAAACACCACTTACCCGAGACAGACTACCCGTGAAGTCTATCTGAGGCACCCAAATCGTACGACACGAAGATGACCAAGCTCTTCATCTGGGTGTTACTGGTGGGTGTGGCCATTGTCCTGTCGCATGCGCGACGGTCATCCGAGGAAGATGAGCGAAGGAATAATCAAAGAGGTAAGAACTTAGGACGCTTTTTTGGGGGGGGGGGGGGGGAGGTGCGGAAGGAGTCTGATGACGTCATTATTTTTTCACGACTTTAAGATTTGACGCCATGGAGGCTTTTTTGTAGGGCATCGTTGAGTAGGTTATGCTGACGCTTGAAGTGAAAGAAAACAGGATCAGAAAAAGAGAACGTTTCGGCAGAAAGCCTGCTTCAACAAACAAGACGAAGCAAGAAACAACGAAGAAATGTGTTAAATTTATCCACAACATGACTTGAGCGCAGTTCTCCATATATTATTATCGTTTATTTTTGTACAACTAGGAAATTGTACGGCGTAATGATATTGGTGTAAAAAAACACTGTCGTTAATAGGTATTTGGAAAGTTCTTAACACTACGGCATGATCAATCAATCGTCGAGCCTTAAGATATAGAAGGAGAAGAGAGTGAGACGACCAACAATAACATAATATATAAATATAACACATGAAGGGCTGCGTTCAAGCCGTGTGAAGGAAATAGTAGAACAAGGTGTGTGGAAGCTTGAAATGGAAAGAAGGAACAATGAAAGAAGAACGTTTCGGCTATATATATAATATATATATAAAGTAGTTAAAAATCCTAAGTGATCGCATTTAATGTTGTTGCCGGAAGTTGGGCTTTTCAAAAACCATGATTACAGGAAGCAAAATAATGATGAAAATACGATTTTAACGGACAAAAAGATTTTGGAAATATGCAAAATATAAGAGATAAGAAAGAAATACAGGAAACTGTGGATCATTAGTCAGAGGAAATTTGATTAATTCCATAAGATGACTTGTGCCGAAAAGCTGAATTAATTTATTTGCCTTTCTAACTCTTGCTGGTGTGTTAGTGCAGGAATAAGATAGCTGGGATCTGAAACATTGATTTGATGAAAGCTTTGGTTGTTTGTTTGTTTTTTGCATTGTGTTTTGATATTTGTATTTAACTCCTTCCATAATACCGATACCTTTCCTTTCCAAAACAGACAATGCCAGACGGGACGACAAGTCCAGGTCGAAATCGAGAGCCGCGGACGAGTTGGCGCGCAAAATCAAAGGAGATATGGAAAAGCGGAGAAGAGACAGAGACAGACAGCTACAGGACGTAAGGAGGGCCATCAGGGAAAGCATCGCTGATAGGATCGGTGACAGCATCGCCAACAGGCTGGCGAGGATCGTCATCAAGAGCGGCGCCCCTGGAGACGACAGCCAGGAAGTGGATTCGAGAGAGGGGAGCACAAGTTTAGAGACTACCATCAACTCGGACATCCAGGATCTGGTGAGGGAAATTAAATCTAAAGTCTTAGACAAACTGATTTCGCAAAAAGATTTCGTCAGTTCGAGTTTTCGCGACAGACTCGACAAGTTAACCAAGGCCCTACGCCACGTCAAGCTGTTCGAAGATGAGGTCAAGGAAAAGCGAAACGAAGACGAGTCCGCCGACGTCGATGTTTCCACTGAAAACACGCCGACGTCACTTCCGGATGACCTAGAAAAGGCAATAGAGGAAGCGATCCAATACGAGATTGAACGCTCAGAAGAAACGGCCGTGTCCGATAACACCCCGATTGGTAGTCTGCTGGTGAGGCAGCTGGTGAGTGGATTCGAGGCCAAGGTCGACGATCTGAGGTCAGCCTGGAAAGATTTCGTGAAAGCCAAACAAGACATGGTGGAGAAAGCTAAAGTACTCAATCAACATCCCCGGGACGGAAAAGGATTCGACTTCGAAAAACTGCGAGTGTACAAAGCGAGCTTGCAGGAAATGCTGGCTAAAAAGAGAAACTTTGTTGAGTCGAAAGTTGAGCTGAAGCGTGGCATCGAAGGAACTCTCAACAACATGTCCAGGACGTATCGCAGCCGAACAGGACGGGATTTCAGCTACGCCGATTTCTTGGAGTCGGTACTGAACGCCAGCTTTCAGTTCCCTCGAGCACTAGAAGAGTTTTTCAAAGACGTCATTTGCAGGAGTGTAACTTCACCCCGAAATGACAACCAGGAGGCGGAGATATCTGCAAGCGATGCGCCACCAGAAATTGCTGGAAGCGACGCCCCGCCAGCACCAACATCAACAGCAACAACTTCAGCAGGAGAGAGGCTAGCAGAAGACATTATCGTGGACATCATAGACACTGTGAAGGGAATAAAGGAGAACGTCGAAGACAAGGTTTCAGCATTGAGAGAACTCATCCAGTCTACAATTCAACCTAAACTTGATCAGCTAAAGGAGACGATTGAAAAATTCCTTCTCGACGAAGATGAAGTACGGGAAGAAAACAGACGAAAACGAAGCATCGAAGACTCACCAGGGAGCGCTGAAGAAATTGTCACCGAGGCTTCACAAAAATCTGATGAAATCCCCGCGGAAATATTGACAAGCATCGAACGAGCAGTTAACAGCCTGGTGTCAGGTTCTGTAGCGTTCGCCCCCACCGCAAATGAAGCGATTCTAGACGGACTGATCCTAGAACTCCTGAAGCCGTTTGACGCGGACATCCAAACCTTGAAAGAGCTGAAGCAAAAATACAACGAAGCTCAAGCCCAGTTGCTCTCCGACGTGGCAAGCCTGAGAACAGACTCGGACGAACTCAAGAATGTGAGCGACATCTACACAAGATTGTCTCAGCTTCCGACCAAGTTCAATCAGCTGAAGCTTGTCAGGAGCCAGTATCAAGCCGAGAAAACGAAACTGATCACCGAGGCCACTGAGACGCTGAAGAGCTTATCGGCCAGTTACCAAGACAGGACCGGATCTCCGGTCAGCTACATCGACGTCCTGATCTCGCTGAAGAACTCCAGCATCGACCTGCCGCCGGTGCTCCAGGATTACTACACAGATTTGAGCAGTGTGGCCCGGGTCGAGGGTCTGCGCATGGACGTGGCTCCACGAGGTGAAGGTGGGGAAGGCAGCGATGACTCCTCGGTGGTGGTCGTATCCGTTGTCGGAGTTTTAGCCGCTGTGGTGGTCACCATGGGGGTCTCCGCTCTGGTCTTGAGGCACCGCCGGCGTCAGCGGCTGTACACCAAGCTCCCGAATTAGGTCATCGGCTCAGGAAACGAGGGAGGTCGCCAGATTTAATGCTCATAGTCATTTAAGATGACCTAAAAGTGACCTCGGCTGTACCCAACAGGCGGCCCCTTTAAACGGGAGTGATTGAATAGTTATGATCCCGCAAACATAATTGACCTTACATGTAAAACAACCTTGACCTTACAGGGCATCGATGAGTGTCCTAGCATGCTCACAAGAAATAATTATCATGTAAACAGAATTGACGCGTGACGTAAAAAACACTAAAGATATGAACACATTTTTTTATTGACATGACACCACTGAAAACAACACTGATCTGACAGCAGATATTGGCATAACGCTTAAACATCACAGACTATACAAACAAACCTCACAGACCTGGCATACACACATCACAGACTATACAAACAAACCTCACAGACCTGGCATACACACATCACAGACTATACAAACAAACCTCACAGACCTGGCAGACACACATCACAGACTATACACACAAACCTCACAGACCTGGCAGACACACATCACAGACTATACACACAAACCTCACAGACCTGGCAGACACACATCACAGACTATACACACAAACCTCACAGACCTGGCAGACACACATCACAGACTATACACACAAACCTCACAGACCTGGCAGACACACATCACAGACTATACACACAAACCTCACAGACCTGGCAGACACACATCACAGACTATACACACAAACCTCACAGACCTGGCAGACACACATCACAGACTATACACACAAACCTCACAGACCTGGCAGACACACATCAATGTTAAGATAGACCACAACCCGCTACGAAATAAAAGTTTGTTCAAAATGCTTCTGGAAGTTTTCCCCACTCATTTTTTAGTATGGTAGCACGAACGCTTTCCTCCCTGTATTGAGCCAGCTCCACGTCGGATGATTTGGTAGACACAGGGATCCGACCTGCCGGCATTGCGCGAAGGTCCCGGAGAAAGTAGCGCGTCTGTGGACTTCGCGCCATGCAGTGGGCGTTGCTGGGGAGGCCAGAGCGGCGAGAGAGTCCTAGGTTTCAAACAATGTTATGTGACACATGTCAAGGGTATGAGAATCTCTGTTGTTATGTGTAAATCCGTGTTGTCATGTTTGGTAGGGAAAATATGTTTAGTTTAGAGATTTCATGTGTAGCTGTATCGATGGTGTGAGAGTGTTGTGACGTATTTGGATAAAGGGAAATGACGCGAGAGTTGTTGATAGAATGCAAAGATGGCCGTTGTGGGATATTCACGGCGTGGCTTGTTTTCTCGTGTGGAGGAATCGGCTGGATATATCGTTGAAGTAGAACTAAAATTAATTTATGACTTGCGTTGTTGGTGTGCATTGATCCGTCAGGTTTTGACGAGTTATAATAAAGGTCTAGCATTTAACTTATTTCAAGATATTCAGTGTCTGCTGTTCTGACGTCGGTTGCACTGGTCCATGTGAAGAAGTAAGAGACTAGGATGTCCCACGGGCGAGCGTCTGGCTTCGAAGAGTGGATGAGCACAGGACACTTATAAAGATCAATACTCAAAAAGGGTGCGAGATTACTCTCTTAGGACCCTTGACACGATGCTTACGGCGCGCCTCATCTGCTGGGCGCTTCCGTAAAGGAGCTCATTAAGGCAGGCCTCCGGATTCCTACCGTCGGCATGTCCCACTTTCCAAGCCATTTTCTCCTGAAATGGTCTTTCAACCAGACAGTGGCTCCGAGCTGAGTCATGGGATTGTCTGGTTGAGGTAGGGCTGCGCCTTCTTGGGCTAAGAAATCTGCCCTGTCCGGAAGCGACGCCTCTAAGCGCGAAGTGATTAGCTGGAAGATTACCTTAGGGCCATGTGCATGGATGGAGCCTACTGTTTCCAGAATGACAGTGATCTTTGTCGAGCCCACCGATCTCTCCCCCATGAGTTCGAGAGCAGAACGAGAGTCGGTGAAGACCACAACGTCCGGGAAGGACTTCCGATTGGTTAGGCGTTGGTTCAACCTCTTGAGAGCTGCCAGTATCGCCTCAATTTCCGCATCGAGGCTTGTTGCATTCCTACCGCATGGGCCTGATAGCTCCTCGGGTGGAGCTATCTCTGCGGGATACTGGATGAGGGCACCATAGCCACTACGCTTTTCCTCCGTGAAACATGAGCCGTCCGTAAAGACTTTAACCAAGCTGTCCGGGTAGGCGTCAATCGTGCGTTGCACAGCCTCTGATGGGTCTAGTTGAGGACTGCCTTCGCTGGCTTTGGTATCAACCATTTCCAGTCGAATGTCCGGCAGGGGAAGACTTTTGTGTGGTCCCCGCGCGGGGATCACTTTCACTTTCTCCCTGTTTCTGGGCAGAAAGACGTCTTTTTCAAGACTGTGAACCATGTCCATGAAGGATGGTCGCTTCAATCTGGACTTTTTCTCCCATTCGTCTTGTAATTTGAAACAGGGATCCTTTTTGCCCATGCGGCGGTAACGCTCTACCGTCGTAAGGACTGCCTTCTCTCGCCTGACCTCGAGCGGTTCGACATTGGAAATGATCTCCACCGCCGCCGTGGGTGTGGTTCGTATTGCCCCGCAAACAAACCTTAGAGCACGGTTTTGGACGCGGTCCAGTTCTTCCAAAGCCGTATGGCTTGCGAAGGCTAGAACAGGCAAACTGTAGTCCATTGTTCCTCTCACACTGCTAAGGTAGAGCGATCTCAACAGTCTTGCATCTGCACCCCATTCAGTGCAAGCTAGCTTTTTCACCAAGCCCAATTTTTGTGAAGCTTTGGCACATAGTTCGCGTACGTGGTGATGGAGTCGGAGTTTCTGATCCAACTTAATCCCCAAGTAGACTGGAGTCCTGTCCCATACCAAATCTTTCCCATTTATGGAGAGTTTAACATCGGTCTCAAGCACCTTTCTTCCGTTAGTGAACTTAGAATAGACCGTCTTCTCAGTGTTCACAACCATTTTCCACCGTCTCGCATAGTCCTCGATGGTATGGAGATCGTTTTGCAGCCGGTTCTGCAAGTGGTTGATGCTAGGACCAGAAGTCCAGATTACTAGATCATCGGCGAACATGGCATTATCGGACACTAATCCCTCTTGCAAGTCATAGACATAGGCCAAGAACAAGGTGCAGCTGAGGGCAGACCCCTGGGGGAGTCCGTCCTCTAGAGCAAGCCGCTTCGATAGACTATTGCCAACCCGTGTGACAATAGACCTGTCCTTGAGAAAGTCCGTCACCCACCCGGACATGTTTCCAGTGACACCCAACTTCTGGAATTTATGCATGAGGCCAACGCGCCACACGCGGTCATATGCTTGCTTGAGATCAAAGAAAATTGCACCCTCCTTTGGTACGGGAACCACTATGGCCTGCTTCCACACTTTCGGTAAAATACCTGTAGTCCAAGTTCGGTTAATGAGAGCCAGCAGAAGTTCTCTCCCCTGTTTACCCAAGTGGGTTAACATTTCATTGTGAACTTTGTCTGGGCCTGGTGCTTTCGCCGGCAAGCACTTTTTGAGCGCGGTTTGCAATTCTTCCATTGTGAAGGGAACTGTGAATATCTCAGGGTGGGGTCCAGTACGCTGGATACGAGCTCCCCTTTTCTTCAGACGGCGGATTTCCCTGTGCTCATCGGTCTCCTTTCTTACTTTGGACTCATTGTTCACTGCGGCAAAGTGAACATTCAGTACATTGGCTCTTTCCTTGTCGCTCGCCACGACACCCTTGTTCGATAGTACTGGCTGCGGGTTCTTGGCCTTCCCCGCACCAGAGAGACTTCCGAGCAGATTCCACACCTTCCTACCGTCCAGAAGATTGAGTTTTTCACACGCACTAACCCACTTCGACTTTTTCGCCTTTTGGACAGCTGCCCGGACCTCAGCCGTAAGTTGATTGTAGCCAGCACGAGCAGCCGGTGTTTTCTTCCTCGCGGCTTCTTTCCGAGCTTTTGCTCTACGCTTCACGAGTTTTGCAAGCTCTTTGTTCCAAAAAGGCTTGTACGGTCGCTTCCCGGTCGTTCTCGGGATCGTCACACGGGCGACCTCTAGGAGGACGTCATTAAACTTCTCGAAAGCAACATCTAAGTCTGAGTCGGCCACATCGACTGCAATTAGTCCGAGCTTGGTCTCGCACTGACTTTGGAAATTTTGCCAGTTGGCTTTGCGAAAGAGCCAGTGGCGTTTATCGCACTTGGTTTTGGCCCGTCCCAAGTCAACCCTAAGCAGTATGGGTAGATGGTCGCTCCCAATGTCGTCAAGGACACTAAGGGCCTGATGTCCCGCGAGATCAGCGGACACGAGCGTCAGGTCTGGCCTGGATTCCGTTCCATGGCCGTAATGGAGAAGAGTGGGCGTGCTCTTCTCGTCTTGAAGCCTGATAAGGTTGGTCTCGAGACAGACTTCTTCCACGTGCTTACCAGAGCCGTTCCGCTCTGGATAACCCCACATGGGGGATTTGGCATTGAAATCTCCTGCAATTATAGTCCGTTTAAAGATCGTCTCCCCGTGGGTGGGGATCGTGATCACATTGCTTGGAGAATTGTAAATGTTCGTCACGGCGAACGTTTTCCCACATTTGGTGACTTTTACTGACAGGGTGTCAGTATTGGCGTATCGCTTACACTCGATGATCTCCACCGTGAGATCATTTCGCACCGCTGTGGTAATGCCTTGGCATCGGCCACACTTGCAATGGTATAGCGAGTATTCGTTCTCGACCAGTCGTTTGTTGGCCTCGCACGCGCCTGTCAAGCGTCACACGTGCGAGAGGGGACGCCCTCCCCAAGGGGACATCCGCGGGGAGAGGATGCAGTCCACGCACCACATCTGTAGCTTTACTCGGTCCCACCCAGTCTCCCGACAGTGGGTATCGAGGGCCTTTTGAGGAAGCCACGGTCGGAGGGGCAGGATCGTGTCCAAGCCCCCCCAGTCGAACCTGCGTTAATGATAGATTTTGCATTGTCATGAGTAATAGTGGTTTGAGCAAAATATCTTCCTCCCAGTGAAAGAGGGCTTTGCGTCGCCCCCCCCCCTAGCTCAGTGGGTCCTTCTGACATGGACGTGTGTGATCTTTGGCTTCCGGATGTTAATCCGTACTAGTCAACAACGCCACGAAGAGGCAGATCACGTGTACACCACTCGAGCAAAGTGATGTTGGTTTCCCCAGCCGGCACGAGCGATCGGCATGGGGAAACCATGTTGAGCACAGGACACTAAGATCGACAGCTCGACAACACAGTCCAGCTGATGGAGCTGGTTGCCATTGTAATCGCCGGGGCTTTAAGAGTGTAAGATCAAGCCCCCTCCAGAATATGTGAGTTAGTAGATGTCGAACCGTTGAATCTGTTGTGTTGTAATTATCCACTCATGGCCATGAATGTCTACTTGTCTGTCCAAGTCTCTCACTTGATCCCACGAACGGTGTAGCTAATATCAACAGTTAATAATACAACCGACGTTAACAGGTTCGTAGCTAGATAGGAGTTTATTTAACACTACTCCATTAACTACGGTTGAATTATAATTTCAGAATTGATAATCAAATCACTCCAACCAAACACTACTCAATACACAAATCCAAACAC